TTTCTTGCCTATGTTTGTTTTCTGTCAAAACTAATACATTAGACACCTTATATTGAATATATGTAATGTGTTTGAATGCTCATTTGGTGTTAGAAACCATTGTGTCAAGTTTTGCCTCCTCATGTGCATTGTTATGTTTACAACTTGCAAATGCTATGACATACTTCATGACAGTTGCTTTCTATGGATTTTTAATGTTTGGATCATCATAATATCATGTATTCATGCTGTCTAAATGATTAAACTGACCAAATTCAAACTGAAACTTCATATGTGATTTATCATGCATAATTGTTCACATCTTTGCAAAAATGCCTCATGCTTGTATACCAACTTGAACACACTTGTTTATACTTGCTATCTAGTTGTCTATACAGCTGCACATGATCACATATAACATGTATACATGATTCAAAACACTAAAACTGACCTGCACAAAGAAATGCACCATCAAATGCTTCATATACACATAATTGCTTCAACTTGCAAATTGAGTGCTACATGCTTGTACATGTGTTCCAGTTCTAATTTTTCCATTTACACACACTTAATATGACATGATTGAACTGTTAGAATGATTGAAATCACTTGAAACACTCAGAATCCAAAAATCACCTCATCATGCATTGTTATGTCATGTAATTTGCAACTTACATACAACTGTCATATTTACTCATGCCTTGGCTTCAAACTTGCTTGCTATCTGTTATATATGATATATGTAATGTGTATGTGACCCTACTTGACTTGTAGCATGTGTATATCAAGTTTTTCATATCAATTTGCAAGCTTAAGCCATGAAACACACCAGCTATCGTTTTTTTCACAGGAAAATGAATCTCAGAAAACTAACACCACCATCATCTTCCTCTCATTTTTCTACCCAATTTACATATAAAATTTGTCTCGATCCGATGAGCGGTTAGTGAGATACGGTATAAAACGTATTTGGTTTCAATTATGTTTCCATGCATTCAAAACAAACACACACACCAGTCAGCGTTTTTTTCACTAGGTGAACAGTTTGTAAAAACTAACATCACCATCCTCTTCCTCTCATCATTCTACCCCAAATCCATATAAATTTTGTCTCGTTTCGATAAACGGTTAAAAAGTTATGATACAAACCGTATTTGACTAGACAGTGTACTTTTCCCGCACTGACAGTACTGATTTCGAAACTTCAACGCATCATAACTTTCTCATATTTTATCGTTTTTCATCCGTTCTTTTTTTGTTATGCTTGTTTTAAAATTTAGTTTCATAATGTGTAATTAATTTTCATGTTTGATCACTTTTTATTTTGCGCGATCCGCGCACTGACAGTACTGATTTCGAAACTTCAACGCATCGTAACTTTCTCATATTTTATCGTTTTTCATCCGTTCTTTGTTTGTTATGCTTGTTTTAAAATGTAGTTTCATAATGTGTAATTAATTTTCATGTTTGATCACTTTTTATTTCGCGCAATCCGCGCACTGACGGTATTAGCCCTAATCAGTTGCAGATGAAAATTAAGAGCATTCCACTTGCATTTTCTCGGGAATTTTGATTGTTATCATGTTTTAATATGTTTGTCAACATGTTGAAATATTTTCTTTGAATTATTATCTTTTATTTGCATCTGTACGCTAACAGTCGTTTCAGGTACAGACTGTCGTTACATAATAAAACTGCTGTTTTTTTTATCATTTCTGCTTTTCATTTTAATTATTCGATATGGTTGTAATAATTAATTTATTTGTATGTTGTAATATTTGCTCTTGTAATGTCTGTATGTGATCCCCGAGCGACGAAGCTCGTCCAATCGCCGATATACTATCCTCCAAAGGAAAAGTCTGTCCTGTTGACAATCAATGTCTTGGACTAAATTCAAACATACCCCCGACTTTGTCAAGTCACTCTAAACCTAATTTCATAACTTTTAGACTTTGCTTGAAGTCTACGATACCTACCCGTACTAGGAGTGTTCTTCACCTAGAACCCTAGGACAGAGTTCGTCAACTCTGTGTAAGAATCATCGTCATGATTTCTTATTTCCCCCTTCAATGTAGCTTAGGGAGTTTTGTCAAACTCCACACAAACATTGTCATGTTTGTTCCCCTTTGAACCTTGATCGTCATCAAGTGTTCTTTTCCCTTGTGAGGTGAACTACGATTGCTCTGATTCTATCCTAGTCAGGATACGTAGGCAGAAGGTGCGATACCTTTGCGAGCAAACTTAGAAAACCACTTAGGCCTTTTTATTTGTTTTATCTTTTATTCCCAACTTAAACCATAGTGCACAATTCACAAACTTAGCAAGTAATTAAACAAAAGGTTCCTGTAGAGTACTACAGATATTTAGGGTGCTAATACCTTCCCTAGATATAACCAACCCCCGAATCCCCGAATCTCTTAAAGCGTTGTTGTCACATCGCGCAAAAGGTTCTTTTCTTTCTTTAGACCTATCCTTTGGATAAATTAAAGACCGGTTGTAAAAGAAATACGATTCAAGTTAATTAATAGCTTGATATCAAATTTTCACCGCAACAGAAATGGCGACTTCACTGGGGATGTTATGCTTTTGTTTTGAGGGTTTAGCCTATTTTGTTTATATTTGCTATTTGTGAATATTTGTGAATACGTGCAGATTTGTTCTTTTGGCTTTTGGGAAATACAAATGATGAGACAGCACTATACCCGTGCTTGAGCGTACTTATGATAGGAAGGTGGTATATTCAAGGAGGTTTATAGGGAGTTGATTCCCGACTAAGCCAACTTGAAAACCGCCGCTCAATGGAGGTCCTTTTTGAGGGTAGTGTTGTTGATCGAGTATTCGTGAAAACAATGTTGCTTTCTATAAGGGGCTCATGCCATTGTGGACCTTTAGAACACATTACCCCACTTGGCCTTATTAGGATGTAGTGCGATAACTATGAGGGAGTATTTCCGAATAGTTGATACGCGATACTACACTCAGACGAGACTCTCTTGAGAATATTATCGACCCCCGAGTTATTTGGGCAGTTGATAATATCCGAAAGATGGGTCGAGGACTCTGGGAACTTTTTAGAACCTTGTTCTACAGGTGGAAAAAGCTCTAGTACACTCCTTATTGGGAAAGGTAGACCTTGGCTCCTGATTAAATTTCCCTAAACCAAAACTTGATGTGTATATGTGAATACTTGTGTTTGTTGCATCCATGCATTCATAAACATCATAACATAAAAGTTTTATGGAACTCAGTCTCTTATTTTAAAACTTTAGGAAACATCATGGATCAAGGAAAAAAGAAAACAATCAAGTACACATACAAGAGTCCTAAACTGGATGATATTGAAAGGTTGAGCACTTATATCACAGATATAGAAGGTTTCAAGAACAGAAATGGCGACTTCACTGACAAATTACCACACCTCTTAAATTATAGAAGTGACTTATCCCATTTTCACACTAATATGTCAAACTTATTAAAGATGCGAGACAAAAAAAAAAGGTCCCTCTTAAGAGAACTAATGTTATGGTTACATGATTATGTAGCAGAAAAAAATGATCAATTTACATATTAACAATCCAAAAAATTATCTTAGATCCATAATGCAATTAAGGTTCTCTTTTATCTCCTCCGTCCATGCGTGAAGGGTTTTGATATAAATCTCTGCATATATTTGCTAATAAACTCGTGACGCCTATGTATTGAGTTGTCAAATGAGCCACGTTTAGAAAGCCCAAGCTTATACGCATTGGGTGGCCCACAAGATGTCCAAGTATACTTTAAGTTCAAGTAAGGGTTCAATAGAAATCTGACTCCACATTCCAGCCCGATCTCTGTGATCTCATCTCGCACTTAGCCTTCCCCATCTTTCTTCTCTTTTCTTCTAATGAATTGATCTTGTCCGCTTTTCTATAAAGGGCTAATCCTAGTTCTGTTAAGGACCTAGTTTTGAATTTTAATTTTGATAGGAGTAAGTGCTTGCCGGGCCACTCTTCATTTTTCATTTGAAACTAATGAATGTCGAAAGTTTCTGCCTTATTATTAAAATCGCTCTCTTTCTTTCCTTTTGCACGGTCCCGCCCCTTTCATTGAATTTTCAGTGGACGATTATAATTTACACTATTGTATTTATCACAAGTATAATATAATATATTTTATTTTCTTAATTTATAATTATAAAATATTTTAATTTTTAAAATTATAAACATCAAATACTTTAGTTGTTTAAATTATAAAATGAATACTCACATAAAAATTATAATTTAAATATAAAAATATAATTTTGTAATTGAAGAGATTAAAATAGAATGAAAGTTTTGTAGGAATAAAGTTTCTAAAATTTATATTTAAAAAAATTAAAATAAACCAACAAAACTTAGAGAATAAAATAAAATATAAAAGAATAATTTAAACGCAAAAGATGAAAAATAAAATCATTAAAAAAACGTAAATAATATAAACATAAAAGATGGAAAATAAAAAAGTTTGAAGGGAGTGTATTATCAACGTAAACAGTATTACATATATATTTAATTAAAATATTTTAAATTATATAAAAATTTTAAAAATAAAAATGTGATTGGTTAAATATACGTCTCTCATTGATTTAAGGTGTAAAATATTTTCCGTTGTGGGTCTATATTATTTTTTCTCAAAATAAAACCATTAAAAATAAAATAAAAACATTTAAAAACACTAAAATATATTGATTTCATGGCCCATCCATAAAATTTTGAAACATCACGAGTACTTTTTCTGAAAAAAACTAAAATAAATTATTTGGTATTTTTAAATTTTGATTGAGTACAATTTAAAATTTTCAATTTGTATAATATTGAATACGATTATTTTATTGGACGAGGCATCCCAAATTAAATTAAAGAGTAAAAGAATATTCTCAAAAATAAATATTATGTATAACCAGAAAATATTAATATTATATTAATTTAAATACAGTTTGAGAGCAATGCAACTCAACACTCTAATTCTAACCCCTTAAACCTTCACCACACGTCTCTACGGCTATGGCCATGACTATGCATCCCCACTTAGACAGAATCCTCTGGACCGAAGACCAAATCTCCCACCGAGTCTCCGAACTCGCCACACAAATCGTCCACGACTTTCCCGCCTCCTCACCTCCTCCCGTCTTTATCGGCGTTGCCACCGGCGCATTCATATTCCTCGCTGACCTAGTTCGCAAAATCGACCTCCCTTTCACCGTTGATCTTGTTCGGGTTCAATCCTACGGTTCCGGAACTGTGTCCAATGGCGCACCTACCATTTCTTCTGACTTGAAGGTTGAAGTTAACGGCCAACACGTCATTTTGGTATTCTTTTCTCTCTAACCCTACAATTGTTTATGTATTAATGGAATTTTACCTAATTGGGTATAAAGGTTTTTTTATTTCATGTTTTTTCTATAAAAAAAATTCAAATTAATTTTGACTTGTTCTTTTTGTTTTGTAAATGTTGTGACTTGTCAATTGTGATTAGTTAGGGGAATGAATTTTCTAATTTAAGATTTGGTCAATTTGTTAACTTAAGTGTTTTAAAGATAGAGAATGATTGATAACAAAAGAGGTATTTTACAAATTGATTTTGACTTGTTTTATTCATTTTGACTTCGTTAGGTGATTTGGTCTCTTAAATTTGAGTTTTTTTTTTTAATGAAAATTTGGCCGCATTGAAATGATTTGTGTATTTTAAAGGAAGTCCTAAAGTAGACAATTTAAAGGTAGAATCATGGTCCCCTCATAGTTTCATTCAAGATAGATGAGAGAAAAATAAACATTTTTGTACAATAATCATGAACAAATGCAAAAGAGTTTTTATTTTATCTAAATTGCTTTTTATACAATATTGAAATCAATTTTGTTAGCTTAGATAAACAAGTTCTAATTATTTTTCTTTATAGTGTTTTCTTTTAATGTTTGGAAATTTAGCATAAGTAGCAAAATAGAAGAAAACAAGTCAATTTCTTGGAAGTTAAGTTGAAGCTAGCCTTGTCAACGAATTTAGCCCGCAACGGCCGCCAACTTTGATTATGTAGTATAATGTAGGAATGCAATAACGCTGGAATGTTCTCGGAAGAATATATTCTTGCTTCTTGGTCCACTTCACATTATTATTAGCCATCAGAAGAAAGAATGTCCTCTTGCTCCTTGGAGTTGTTGAGGAATAACAATGGTGATGGTGGAAAACTTGAGAGAAAATACGAGATTATTGTGATTTGGTGAAGATGAAGGAGGAAAGGGGGTGGTGATGACAACGGCAACGAAGAGACATTAGGTCGTTTAGGGTTAGGGTTTGGTTTGGGGGTGACAGCGCAGAGACGGAGAGATTTAAGTATATCTTCTTCCGATGGCTAATAATAATGTGAAGTGGACCATAGAGCAAGAAGATATTCTTTCAGCGTTATCGTATTCCTACTCACTCATGGCTCTCATCAGAATGAAATAAAATTTCTAACAATGAAAACTACATAATCGAAGTTGAATATACCTTATATTATGTTACGGTATGTTGTTAATCTTAAATAGCTTCATGTAGCACCGGCCCTCTAAAATATCATAGTATTATAGTGGATAATGGGATAACTATGTTAATTCAAAGACTAAAAATCAGGTGTAAATTAACATAAAGAAAACAATAAAAAAGTTTCTACTTTTAAATTGCAATTGTATTTTCACTCTAGTCAATTTTTTCTATCCAGATATGCTTGTCTCTTCTCCCCCTCACCATTTTTCCTAATCCTATTGTGTATGTGTTTATTTTTGTAAGTATAAATCTTTTAAATCAGCAAGATTCAATTGATAATTAGGTTGAAGACATTGTAGACACAGGACACACTTTATCTAGACTCATTTCACACTTGAAGTTGAAAGGAGCATCCTCTGTGTCAGTATGCACTCTTCTTGACAAACCAGCAAGGAGAAAAGTTAATGTACAGCTAGTGGGTGAAGGCAAATTCTACCGGGGATTTGAGGTACGATGCTCTCACTGCTGTGTTATTCTCTTTAGTCAGTTTTTTTATCCTGCAGTTAAATACACGTCACTTGAGCTGATTTAATATGCCATAGGTAGGAGTTACAATTGAGAAAGTTGTCTGTGTAGATTAAGGGGCTTTCTGAAATAATTATCATGCAACTTTGATTTGCCAGTTTCATTCTTTGGTTTAACCAAATAATCATTTGCCCTCACCTCTTCTTTCTTATGTATTTACCGGATATATTTGCTTAAGTTAAACTTTTATATGGAAATTCAAAAGTAATGGAGTGAGACTGTATTGTAGCTATGCTTGCTGCATTTACGAAATTATGATTATTATAGTTTTCTAATTTGCTGCTGAACCCATTTCTTATCTTCATAGATAATTTTTAAAGCTTGTTATTATGCGACAATAACAATGCCTAGATTGTGTGGAGCTGACATGAAATGCTATGATCTTACTAAGCAGTGAGTTTGAGATATTCTGATTATGTTTACATGTTTCTCTGATGCAGTGTCCAGACTATTTTGTAGTTGGTTATGGAATGGATTTTGATGAACTGTACAGAAATTTGCCTTACATTGGTGTCTTGAAGCCGGAACATTACAGTTGATGTTGTATTTTTGGTAGATGCCGCCAACGCCACATTTGGAACCACGAAGTATTGAGTTTGTCTGACACGATTCCTATCACACTTGCTCACCAAGTTAAACAATAGTATAGCTATAGAAAATAGAATAAACATATTAAGATGGATTTGCTGTACCATTTCACGTTGTCATGAAATTATAAGTTATGTTTTGGATATTTGCAGGTTTTACAACTATCTTTATTTGCGAAATGTGATAGTCTGTCACTTGGACTAATTTTTTGAATAAGGTTGAAAACAGAGGAAAAAAAAAAACAGTACGAAAAAACGGAGGGGGCATTATACAAAAACCCTCAAACAAATCTAAAGAACGACAAACCTAGTCAGTTATTTACAAAATCGATTCTAATAACCATAGCAATGGATTAATAGTAAGTAGTATTGGCTAAAGCGAGACCTAAGTTAAAAGTATCTTTACAAAGTCGATTCTAATAACCATAGCAATGGAATAATAGTACGTACTATTGGCTAAAGTGAGACCTAAGTTAGTAAAGGTATTTGCACAATTATTTTTTTCCTATATAAATGTGAGAAATAACAAAATTCCAATTCGAAACAAGATTTATACAAATAAACCACCGCAGTCGAATCCGATTTCAATCACACATTGTTCCAATTCTTCTCATGAGCGAACTCTATTACTATCCTAGCACTTGAGAGTTCGGCAATGAGAGAATCTGCAACACCTAAATTAGAAGCAATCATGTATCTAGCAATGCCACCACAAGCCAATAAATTCGACAGGAATTTGGAAGCACCATCATAGGTCAACTTAATCCAATTCTTAGGAGGGAGCTGCCACAATACCTCCAATATATTCAGAGCATGGACGATAACCTTAAACCTCTTAAGAATTACAATACCTCCAATATATTCAGAGCATGGACGATAACCTTAAACCTCTTAAGAATTACAAAATCATTCATAGAAAGGTGGTGACTAATGGAGGTGGCATTACTCGCGATAGAAACAACAACCATAATAAAAGAAGTTATCGAACAGAAAGAAGTTAAAGTATCATTAAATCTCACCAAGTTTCAGGCCTTCCAAATCGAGTTGATTGCAAAGATGATGACCACGGTACAAATCAACATACTGTGCTCCTTGCCCGTTGTTCCAAAGAGATTTTATATATCCGACCAACCATGAATCAAGTAGCTAAGATTAAACATGTGTTTAATCCAAACCCAGATCTTGGAGGCAAAGTTGCAATAAAAAACAATGAGTTTTAGTTTCTTCATCCAATCTGCATAATTCACATCTTGAAGGAAAGGCGAAGCAACATATTTTCATTTGTGCATCCATCGGCAATCTATTGTGAAGGAGTCTCCACACTGTAAAATACTTAGATGGATGGATCGATTTGCTCCAAATCCACTTCCAAATATCCTTAGAAGTGCCATGTTGCCTCTTGAACTCATAAGCCACCTTAAGGGATAACTCACCATGTAAGGAATGACAATTGCCAATTCACCAATAAGAGTTTTCCAAAGCAGTGGTGATCTCTTTTTTAGCACTGGTCCAAAGAGAAGAAAAAACATGGTTGTCACACCTTAAAAAGAATACGACATCGCGAGAAAATCTCGTCGATTGGATTGACAGAAGAGTCGCCACCGAACTTTATTTATTCTCAAAAGAGGAAAATGGAAAATATGGAGAAAACCCACAGAATCGGAAAAAGGATATGACAAGGTCGTCGCAACCATTGTCGGGGTTCGGAAGGCGGTTATGTAAGGGGAAGATATTAACACCCCTCACATCCGTTGTAATCAACAGGAACCATCTAGATTATCTGCGCATGAAAAGGTGTCTTTTATCTAAAGGTTTATCTGCTAAAGAGAGAATGATGTTTTTTATTAAGGTGCTCGCCTCGGCGTTGGTCTCGTGCTTACGTATCCTAATGGTGCAATAAGGAAGTTAAAGCTTTGTAGTTCAGCTTAAAAAATGAGTGTTGTTTTGGTTGATTTTACATTGAAAAGGGATTTTCGGAGGGTGTCCATAAGGCGCAAAAAGAGTTTGAATGAGTTGATGTTATTTTTAGGATTTTGAAAAGAAATTATTCTTGATTAGGATTGCACTAAAGACTATGCGTAGAGGTGATTATTTCAAGCAACCAAGTCGAACGCCTTGTGTCAAAATAATCAGAATGAGTGTAGGGAAGCTCCATTCTCACTCCTTCTCCACCACTTAAGACTTGTGGCGCACAATCCCAATCGTATCTTATTGTGTTTTTTGGTTTGATTGAGAAAAAGGCACTTGATTTTGGATCAAGGATTTGTTAAATTTATTATAAAAATATTTTGGTGAACGGGTAGGTTGATGGCGATACACGAGGCAATCGACTTACAAAGGGTGAATGCAAATGAAGGGTGATTGGTTGAGGGTTGATGGTGAGGAAACCTTATTGAATCGGTTTATTATGAAAAATGCTTGATGTTGGATCAAGCTTGTTTGTGCTCTTTTGAAAAAAGTGTGATTGATTTTATTCTTGAATTAAAGGGAGCATAAGCAACTAGCAAGCAACGAGAAAACGATAAAGTCATTACACGTCATGGGAGTGGGGATACATTTGCTTAAATGGGATGAAATAAATAATAAGCACACAACCCAAATCATAAACTAAACGTGCACTAGCAAAGTGGGCTAGTATTTTAGACGACCAACAAGAAGTAATTGATCAAATAAGTCTCATTGTAAGAAAGCTCAAGAGTAACCTATGAATGATGTGCAAAAGGTGTCCTAAAGCAATACAAGATGTAGATTCTTTTCCACTTGAGAGAGGTATGTGACATACTCGTCGATTCTATATCTGAGATGGATCCCTTCTCTCAATGTGAAGTAAATATCCATCTTCCACATGTTTGTGGTGGTTTAGTTGAGTATTCTTCTTAAGATGACAACTTGTCTCTTCTCCTAAAACTAAACAACAAACATTGCTTTTACCCGTGGTTCCACGAACTACGCACACTCTGATTTCTCTAGTTTCTTTATAGAATACGTAGGCACAAGGTCTCAATCCTTGGCGAGCACACTTTTTTTTACACACGTAGTAGCTGAACTACGATTGCTCTGACTTCCTATACAGGATACACAGGCATAAGATTGTGAGATCCTAACGAGCTATCTTTTTCTTTTTCCACTTTTTTTACTTTACCCGTCTTTTCACCTTTAGCAAACAATTAACAAATAAAACAATAAGACAAGATGTTCCTGTAGATTACTACAGATACTTATGGTGCTAGTACCTTACTTAGTATAACCAACCCCCAAACCTTAGATTCTATTTTTCTTTGTTTTTCCATTGCATACTTATGGGTTTATTCGTTCTTTTTCCCTTCCTTTGGATAAGTTAAAGATCGGCGGTGAATTATATTTTGTGAGCCTAGTTAAATTAATAGCTATGGTCTTCGATTCCCACCACGACAATTAGGACTCTGTGAATCAAATTATCCAAAACCAGCATACTGAGATACAAATATCTTTTGGTCAGAGCATCACAGTTTTGGAACACAGATTTAAAGACAACAATATTTATTTTCAGTTGGTCAACAATATATCTCGAGCATGTTTGAATTATATTTTTCACAAAGCTAAACGATATGATAATGTAGGCTCCGATAGCACAAAGTGTGTTGCATAATTGTGAAAACCCTATGGTCTCTCATGTGTTTGTCTTATAGCAAAAAAGGTGAAATTTGGTAGCTCGTTAAGAATGAATGAAGTTTGCAGTCACTGGAAAAGGCTAAAGTTTGATGATGATGATGGTGTCATGAAAGAAGGTAATTCGAATATCTCTATTTTGACTGAATGGGAAGTGATACAAGAGAGATTTTTTAAAGTCAATGACAATATGAAACTCCACATCAAAGAACAACTGAGGAAGATTGTTTATCCGAAACCACATACTTAAAACCACCCCCTAAACTGGTAAAAACAAAAGGTTCTTAGAAGAAGGTCAAAGCTACATCGAATGACAATTCAGTGGTGCAGTCTCATTCGAATTTTGAACATGTTGACAAAGTTTTTCTGGACTCACCAACTCCAAAATCTAAAAAAAAAGTGTTTTTAAAGGAGTTCGCATTAGAAAACCACCTCTTTCATTGCCTCCACCAAAAATTCCATTCAATGACGATATGTCGGTTTTATGCACAAATACATCGAACGGATCGTCAATGTTAAGAATGACGGTAATTGCGGTTTTTGAGTTGTTTCGGCTTTACTCGGTAAAGAAGAAGATAACCACACACTTGTCTGCTATCAACTTATCCATGAGTTAAGAATCCACAAAGAATCATACACACGACTTTACGGAAAGAAAGAAAATTTTGTTGCAATTTGTGAGTCTCTTGTTCCTTGCATTAGTGGACTGGTACCGGAGAAAAAAATGAATGTGCTTCCCTGAAATGGGTCATATCATATCAAATGTGTATGATATAGTGTGTATTGATCTTACAAGATACATTTTTTCAGCAATTTGTTTCCACTATGCACCGCCCCACCTTAAAATCTAAATGATTGTATTATGGGTATTGTGTAGCTTTCAAAATCACGACACTTTATTCAAGTTCATTTAAAATAGAGATGTCATATACCACTTACATTAGTGGATTGGACGTCTCATTTAGCAACAAAAGTTGAGACTTTGTCTGACCAATTTGTGGAAAGGATGCAAGAGATCGCTGTATTGAACAACATTGAAAGATAATCAGATGCACAAAAGTTAAAGGGGGTACCACCCATATTTATAGATTTAGTCGGCAAAAAATCTTTCGATTCGTTTTAGTTTTTCGTCATCAATTAAATATATGTAATTGTGTATTAATATTAATAAAGTCAAATATATATAATTTCAAATATTTTAATACATTTTGATATTTTTTAAAAAAATTGTTCATTTGCCAAACATAACACACAGGTTTTGTTTTAAGTCTAGTTCAAGAGAGGTTCCAGAGATGCATTTCCGAAATAAGACAATACTGTGGTACCGGAAATGTATCTCTGAAACTACCACTGATACGAGATATAAATTTTTAGGTGCATATTTCTCTACAACTTCTATAAATTTACGCTCTTGTTTTTTAATTTCATACAAACAGAAAATATTGCAAATGTCACAAATGAACATCATTTAGTATGTTGCAAATGTCTCCTTTTTCAGCGCGACACCCGAACGAAAGTTTAAGATCAATGAGTACGTCTCTTTTGTTGATCTGCAATACGTTACAGAGATGATCGAAAAATTATGAAGTTCGCGTACTGTTCACCGTTAATTAACAACAAATGCAAGATTGAGTTCAACAATTATGAGCTCAAGACGGATGGAGATGTAAGGGCTATGTGGAATACATTTTTCTTTTTCGAAATAAAAGTTTTGATCGAGGTGGAAGCGACGGTTTCAAGATCGGTCGAAGATATTTTGAAGATGTTGAAGCGTTCGCCTGTATATTGAAATGTAATGTCTGATTTTATGTTAACATCACTTATGTAATGCTGATTTTATGTTATAGTTGAAAATTTTATTGTCAAAATACAACTTTCTTGGTTTTCTGCTTTTGTTTCTGCTTTAGTATACTACAGAGTTGCATCGACGGACATAATCCGGAGATGCATCTCTAGATAAAAAAATCACTTATAGGGCGTAACTTAAAATTGGTCTCGGATGTGTGTATTTGGGATGCGTCTGGAGATATATCTCTGAAATTTAAGAGAAATTTGTCCGTCGATGGATCTCTAGATAAAAAAATCACACTCATGGTCGTGACTTAAAATTAACCTAGGATGTATGTATTTGAGACACGTCTATAGATACATCTCTAAAATTTAAATTTTTTTAGTATTTTTACATGATACCCTAATAATATATAGGTGCATTTATCAAATCATTGAAATGTTTTTCTTCCTATTTCTCTTTATTTCTCTATTTCATATTATTCTTATGTTTTTACTCTATATTTCTCAACATTTTTACACTTTCTCTTATTTCTTAGCCCAAAGTTACTCAAAAATAGAGAAATCATAGTTAGATTATTGAAACTTCAAATCCACTTTACAAATTTTGTTAAGCCTATATTCTCTACACCATTAGATTGTTTTCGTAAATTCTTATACAGTTTATAAAAATAATTTAGAATTTATGTTTATCAAAATAAAGGTGCACTATAAACTGTTAACCAAAGCTGTACACATAATTTGTTGGAGAAATTGTTGTAGATACAAGTTTAATTTTTTACAAACTAGTGAAGAGTTATGTTAACTATGGACACACATATGAAGATTTTTTTAAAAAAAAATTATACAAGTAAGCTCGTATTAAAATCAATATACAGTTTTCAAAATAAAAATTCTAAATATAGACTTAGCATTTGGCTTTGAGATTAGTCAGAGAAAAATAAGAGTATTTAAAAAAGTCACTTTTGCCTATATATCAGTATTAGAGTTTGGCCGAGTATTTAAAAAAGTCACTTTTGCCTATATATCAGCTTTAGAGTTTGACCTAACACAACTGGTTAATAAGATAAGGGGTGTCACTCTATATAAAAGGATCTTCCTAATACACCCCCTCACGTTCAACACTTTTTTGGGCTTGGTACGTGCATTTTTAAACGGTGGACTGCCCAAGGTCCGATTGATAGGACCTAGGCGACCTAACACAACCTTACAAAACCGATAAGGTGAGAGGTGTCCCTCTATATAATTCTATAGTTCTATAGGGCCTTGCAACATAAGATGAATATTGTTTTTCAATTCTGTTAAATATAACAAAAAGAAGATCACTGCATCAATAACATAACATGAATATTGTTTCTAAAATCTGTTAAGCAGAATAAAATAAAGATTGCTGGAAACATAACTGAATTCCAAGAAAGCAGACTTTAATCCAACCAACCATCAACATTACAGATAAATAACAAAAGATAAACTAAATTTAGTCAGAACTCAAGTAAGATTCCACAAATGTGATTTACCATTGCGGTGATACCAAACTCTCCCGATGGATATGTAGAGTAGTATGTGGTTTGAATCCCGTTGTACCAGTTATCAAGGGATAATCCAACCCAGCATTATTTAAGTTATATAGGATAATTTGGGAAGACAATTTGTTTGCCAGAAGAAGAGCACCACCATTGTCTAAAATGAAAAAGGGTTCAACAAAAGAAGTTTGATTCTCACTAGTGATGAGAATCTGTTTAGTCCATGATTCAGCAACACCGAACTCTTTCATCAACCACACATCGCATTGATGTTTTATAGTGAAATAAATGTCAAAGACACAAAGGTAATTACCCAATACATACGGCTTTCGTGTATGCACATTGACATCATCATTTTGAGGCAGCAACATTTCTTCGTGAGTCTCCTTCTCCACATTAAAGGAAAGAATTGAATTTTGATTAGAACTAAAACCACAAACTATCCAATTCAAAGTGCCACTCACAAATTTTCCTAACCAATGTAAAGAGTTAATAGGTGTAAGGGAGAAATTGGGAATGGTTTTCCAAAGATTTTCACCAAATGTATAAATTTTGGTCAAAGATTGACTAAGATCATCCCTATTTTGTGCAATTACAAGCAGCTTGTACTTGTCATTAACATGATCATATCCAAAGCCAAATTGCTTGATCCTCCAATCGTGCGAAACAGCTTGTGGAGATTTTTTGGATTGGAATCTGATAGAAGGGTTGTACAGTCTGACACGACGTTGACATTTATAATACAGACACAAGAGCCCATTACATGAACCTATAATACAATACTTGTGAATTTTCATGTAGCGGACGCTATCTGGTTTAACAGGGATTGATGAGTTTTCCAATAATTGCTTCAAAGGGTAAGATACCATTTTATTGGGTTCTTTCGCAACGAAAAACACCAATTTTTGGTTGGTCAAGCTTGGGATTCGAAGATGGTTCTTTGCAAATTGGGGATCGGAGATTAGGGTTTTCCATGATTTGCAGACACACTTAAATTGAAGGAGATGCTTCACCGGAAGCCTCAAAAGAATCTCGTTGATGAGTTCTTCCGGCAAGACAGGCGATGGAATTCGGTGATTAACGGCGGCTGCTTCGAACATTGGTTGAATGGAAACGCCGTCGTTGTGATGAGTCATTCGGCGAGTTTAGGATTCCTAATTCTATCTGCTCTTTCTATATGGTTAAAGCTTAACATTCTTGACGGTATAAAGTCATACTAATTGTGTTTTAAGAATTAATTTTTTAATTGTGTAAAAAAAACAATTACTTTTTTTAAAATTAAATAACAAAAAGGATTTTTTTTTTTTACAAAATAATGTCTATATTTTTTTTAAAGTAAATATTTATGGGTTATAAATTGTAAATATTTTTACAATATAATATAAATGAAAAAAAATTGGTAAGGCATAAGCAATGTTCTAGATCACTCACAAAGTTTACGCATAAAATTCCAACTACAAGCACCACAAGAAAAGACAGAGTAACATGTGAGATCTCGTTAAAGCATGTAGTAGTAATTTCAGCCTCTAGCTTACTCCCTGCCCTTGGATTTAATTGAACAGTGATTTGCACAAGATGTTTGATTAGGCGGAAACAATTTTAGCTTCTCGCACAATATAAAAACTTAACACATTGAAGATGAAGAAGATGAAAATGAAGATAAGAAAGAGAAAACTCTGACTAACTTTTAAAGAGAAATTGGTTACTTTACAATTCTGTTACTACATTGCATATGAAATCAGTTACAAAGTTGTTTAAATACACAAACTAAAATGAAACAAAGTTGTTTAAAAAGTTTTGTTTCTTCTTTCAGCATGACCATTGTGTTGAGGAGTGTATGAAGCAGTAACTGCATGTTCAATTCCATTCTCCTCACATAAATTCTTGAACTCTGTAGAGTTGTACTCACATCTAACATCAGTTCTGAGAATTTTCAGCTTCTGGCCGTTTTATTTTTTAGCATTCATCTTGAACTTCTGAAACTTAGCAAACACCTAATGCTTAAACTTGATGAGTTCTTCCCATGTCATTCTTGTGAACTCATCCCTAAATGATGCAAAATACTTGTTTCCTCCAAGTGAAAGTACTTCAAATGGTCCACATACATCAAAATGCACTACTCTTAATGCATGCTTTGCTCTTGGAGCCATTTCTGATGCAAATGGTAATCTAGGTTGGTTGTCTTTCATGCATATCTCACATGACTTCTTAGGCTTCACAATCATAGGAATTTCATATACCGACTTCTTAGAACTCATATGCTCTAAGTTTCTGAAATTCAGATGCCCTAGTCTCTTATGCCACACCTCACTGTTACCTTCAGAACCTTTTGCACTAAGGCATTTAGTTTCAGCTGTTTCCACATTCACCTTGAATGTTCTATTGCTTCCCTGTTCAGACTGCATAATCAGCTTCTGATTAGAATCATATAACTTCAAGAGATTGTCCTTCATAGTAACTGAGAAACATTTCTCAATTAGTTGATCTACACTCATCAGATTGCACTTCATGTCAAGAACATACCAAATATCCTTGATCAAAACAGTTTTTCCATTCTTCACTCTGACCTTGACATTTCTCATTCCTTCGCCATTCAGATACTTATCATCAACACATCTGATTTTTGTCCTCTTTCTAGAGTTAAAATTAACTAACCATTGTTTTTTCTAGCTAAGTGATTTGAGCAACCAGTGTCCATATACCACTAACCTACCAAATATCCACCATCACATTCAGAAGCTACCAGTAGCACAAGTTCATCATCAGACTATCCTCTGGCTATGTTTATTTATTCTGATTTTCTTTCCTTGTTTGACCAACAATCAGCAGTAAAGTGACCAAACTTCTTACAACAGTAGCATTGAACCTTCTTCGTGTCAAACTTCTCCTTTCTCTTCTGATGTTTCTTCTCATCAGAGTTGAAGACATCTGACTTCTAATAACCACCATCATGTCTCTTCTTGGCCTCTGACCATGATTGCTTCTCATTCTTCTTACCATAAGATGCTTTTAGATCCCACTCCACCTCTCTTTCAGAGTTTCTCTCAATTAGATGCAACTTTTATGCCTCTAGAATTCTCTGCAGCTCTTCAATTATCATGCTGATAAGGTTCTTAGAATGTTCAATTGCTACAACAATGTAATCAAACTGAGGAGTAAGTGATCTCAGTACCTTTTCAATGATTACTTGTTCAGAGAGAGTCTCTCCACAAGATTTCATCTCATTTGTGATCAGAATCACTCTGGAGATGTAATCAAGTACCTTCTCATTGTTCTTCATATTGAGATTCTCATATTGCTTACATAGAAACTGAAGCTTCACCTTCTTCACTGATACTTCACCACCGTAATACTGTACCAGTGTGTCCCACACAACATTCGTCGTCATTGAATCAACGATCTTCTCAAACACATTCACATCCACACACTGATGGATGTAAAATAAAGCTTTTTTATCCTTCTTCCTCATCTCTCTATGCGTGTTCCTTTGTGCTTCAGTTGCATATGCTGCAACAACTGCATAACCGTCATTGACAAGATCAAGAACATCTTAAGCGCCAAACAACACACGCATCTGAATCATCCATCAATTCAAATTATTTCCATGAAAGACTGAAAAATTTGTGTTTAAGCTACCATTTCCAGCGTTCATCTTCGATCTTGTGCAAGAAATCACTCAGATCTCACCAAACATTCGTGTTTCACAATCCTCATAATCAAGAAATGTGATTGCGTTACTATTTCAAACTCCAATTCATTATGAATTTCAAAATCGAAATCAATCACACACGTCTCACGTTCACTTGTATTTTCCTTGGTGTTTTCCATGGATCTGAACTGTAACTCTAGATACCAATTATTGGTGCACAAGGCTGAAGATGAAGAAGATAAAGATGAAGATGAAGATAAGAGAGAAAAAACTCTAGCTAACTTTTAAAGAGAAATTGATTACTCTACAATTCTGTTACTGCATTACATATAAAATCAATTACAAAGTTGTTTAAATACACAAACTGAAATGGTACGTAAGATAAGCTAAAAGATAAAACTATGCTATAGTAACCTAAAATGAATTATATCTAACATAGATCACTCACAAAGTCCACGCATAAAAAAGGTCCAATTACAAGCACTCCAAGAAAAGACGCGAGTAACATGTGAGATATCGCTAAAACATGGAGTAGGAATTTCGGCCTCTAGCTTACTCTCTACCCTTGGATATAATCGAACGTTGATTTGCCCAAGACGTTGGATTAGGCGGAAACAATTATAACTTCTCGCACAATAAAGCTTAACACATGCCAACTTTATATATTCTTTCATTCACACACTTGAACCACTTTTCACTCATTCACGATTAGGAATCTATACGATTGTTGCCTTCTTCCTTCTGATTTTTTTCATTCATGTATTTTTCTAATTCCTCCTCCAAATAATTCTCGACCATACTTGCTAACTATTTCAGTAATAGATTCCAAAATTATACTCACTCTTTACACAATTTAATGAACAAACTTATGAATCTAGTATGTGTACACTTTAATTCTTCCATTAATGTTACATTCCTCGAGCTTTGAACACAATTGCTTACGTAAGAATGTCATTTGAACTAATGAAAACTTGTTGCACTTTATTTTCGATACTGCTGCTTTCAATAAAACTTCTCATTCATGAAATTTCATAATGCTTTTTCTCTCTCAATGCTCTTGGATTGAGTATTTTTATTTTTTATGCTGGTGCCTCTGTTGACTAGCATTCAAAGATTGTGATTCAATATTTGTCTATGCGAAGAGCTGACTGAATGCCTTAATTCTAACATGGATAAAAAAAAAAACGGATCCTGCACCGCTTGTCTGTTATTTTCAATAATACAATATTTGTCTATTCATTTTTCAGTAACATGGTGGAAGAAAACCAACTTCCAGTTACATGCTTAGACAAAGAAAATCAAATTCCACGTTATTTTAGTTACACTTACATTTATTGTTTATTTTATATAATTTACACAAACACAATTTATTGTTCACTTGTGGTTTAAAAAATCTATAAAGATATAAGATTTTGTTAAAGATAGCAAATGTGAGTAGCATAAATATTAGTTCTATATTCGTCATCGGTCCATTGTGCTTCAGGCTTTGGCACAACTACATTATCCGCATTGGTCATAGTAATTTCTATTGGACCATTCACGATAACGTTCCATATTTTTCTATCTATGGAGTTTATATGCACACGCATACAGTCTTTCCAATAACTATAATTTTCACCGTTGAAAACAGGAGCCCTATTATACACCCCTTTAGGTTCGTTTGTCATTTTCTATCTCGTTGTATTTGAAGCACCGAATAACCAGGCTCTGATACCACTTGTTAGACTATGGCACGAATCTAGAGGGGGGTTGAATAGATCCCCAATTAAAATTTGAGTCGGCGCTACCAATTTAAAATTGGTTTTGAAAATGTTTTAAGTGCGGAAGCAGCCGAGGAAAAATATAGTCTAAAACGAACGGTTATTGGAAAACCGGATATACGTAAGCCTATGGATTTATGACAATTCGGAAAAATAAAATCACAACACAAACTATGCTTATCAATTATTTACTTCAATTTGCAAGGTTACCTAGTTCCAATGAAAAACAAGGCACACAAAAACTAGAAGCAAAATAAGACAATTTTAGTTCAGGACTTTTGTCGAACAGTTTGTGTGCACAAATACCTCAAAGGATATTTATGTTGAGTAAGAGATTGGAAATGCCCTAGTACAATAATTTTATTGTACTTAGTAGTTAAAACCAGAGTTTCAACACCTTACTCAATTTGTATCACAGTTTGACAATAATCACTTAAGCTAGAATCACTTATTTTATAAGCTGAATTGAAAATGACAGAAAATGAAGAACACACGATTTGATGAGGCAGTTCCCCCGTCCTCCTCGCTTCGGGGTACGTCTGCCCTCAATTCTAAAATTAGAATTGAGATATATTGAATATATATCACCTGTTGGAATGAACAGTTTACACAAGAGTTGATAGACAATGATACAAACAATCTCAAATGTTGTTGATGCTTGCTATCACTTCTTGCACCTTGATTCAAGATGAATCAAGCCCTTCAATTTGTTGTGAATGACCTCCGA